TGCCACCGTTAGTAAAGACAGCATGAACGCGCCATGACGGCTTCATCTGTTGCCTCAGGAGAGATACGTTAGTATAAGCCAGTACAGCTGCATCTAAAGCATTGACTCCCTCCCATGGAAAGGCAGCTGCATGAGCCGCTTTACCTATTATACAATCTCAATTACAGTAGCCGTTACTAATAGGACACATTTACCTGTGAATTCCACTGTTAGCTGAGCGCATGATAAATGATTAGGCATGATGATCTCAAAAGGAGCTGGATGGACCATCATGGACACATCGATCCCTTTTAATGCTCCCCTCTCTATTAGTAGGATCTTTCCTCCCCCTCCTTCTTCGGCTGGCGTACCCAGGACTGTTATAGTACCGGTCAAACCTGTTGTCTCAAGGTAAGCTTTGACACCTAGCCCAGCAGCTACTCCTGCTTCTGATATGAGGTTATGACCACAGGCATGGCCTATCGTTGGGAGAGCATCATATTCACATATGACACAAACGTTTGGTGACCCTGAACCAAACCTAGCATAAAGAAATTAATTTATGAAGCCTTTTATTGTATTTAAGTCAACTACTACTGCAAAAGATATTTAATTATATTTAATATTGCAACAAAAAAACTGCTAAATAAAGCAGTCACATAGTATGCAGAGTGTTAATAACACAATTTTTAAGGTGAAGGGTCTAGTACCTTGCTCTAAAAGCTGTCTTGATGTTACAAAACTCCCTATCCACAGCAAATCCTTTTGCTTCCAAGTAATCCGTTAGAACTTTGTGAGCAATGACTTCCTCATAATTGAGCTCAGGGTTAGACCATATCTCATGGCTAAGTGCCTTCAAGGATTCTTTTTCTTTCTCTATGGCTCCAGAAACGACCTTGGTAACAAAACCATCCTTTTCTGCCATGATTTGAGTTCTGCAATTTTTATAACGAGCCCCGCCCATGAAACACCTCCCTAGCACTACTATGAGCTGAGAATGGGCAAACTTAGAACATCTACAACAAGTCAACAACTACTGTTTAAATTCCAACACCAAAGGACTGATACTACAATTTCATAAGGGAAGAAGCTGTAGATTTACTATAGTTCACATTTTTGACGGTTTGTTCAATGGATCTACCCCCCGGAAACACACCAGCACTGTAGTCTGGCCGCGCCAGCACATCTCTGCTACTGCTGTTGATTAGCCCAGTCATGTCCTCAGTCCCAGTAGAAGAGATATTATCCACAAGCTACGGGCCGGTGGAAGAGAAAGAACTGGAAGCTGAATCATACGTTGATAAGCCGGATGCCATTTCCTTGCCTCCTATAAATACTCAAGATGGTTATCACCCAAGCCCTAACCACAAGGTAAGCCTATGTACACTGACATTGTAATAATAGTTATTTTAATGCTTTCATAGAAAGCTGCCTTGCTGATAAA